GAGCCCCGCGGGCCGCAGCAGCGGTCTGCTCATCCTGTTCCCTTCCCTCTTCCCTCCCACTTTCCCAATGACTTTCCCCTGGGCCCGCAGCTGCGCTAAGAAGGGCAAGCGGACTGGGCTGCCGCCTCCGCCAGCCCCCCGACTTTAAGGGGCAGAACCTGGCAGCCCTCTCCGCACACCCCCGTCCATCTCCCCCTCCACCCGCCCCAAGCGATGAAGACCCGTCCCCGGCCCTGGCCCAGCGGGGACCTGCCTGCTGAAATACATTAAAACCAATAACGGGGACAGACTGACAAGACACATCACCCACCCACGGACGGAAGGTCAGAGCTGGGAAAACACACACCACATTTCAGTATCTCACATGGTTTTATTACAAAACAAGCAACAAAACAGTTTTAGAAAATTATTTTTTGCTACATACCAATTAGCAGACCACGTAAAATGAGAAGCGTAACAGTTTCCATGCACTCAGCTCAGAGCCTACGGGGAGTGCATTTCACAGCTGAAACACACTGGTTCAAAACAGAGTCATGCCACACCCTCAGAAGCAACCGGGGAAGGGTCAAACAGTAGAGGTTTGGGCCAAATGTCTGCTTTATTCAGATTCTTCCTAGCATGAGTGGCTGTCATTCACTAGTGCAGGCATAACAGAGAAAGAGAAATGGAGTAAGAGAAAAAAAGATTTAATAAACCTGCTCATTTCTGACATGTTCACAGATTATGAAACAAAGCTGATTTGGGAAACCCAGTTTCCAAAATGCTGCTACCCCAATTTGTCTGTTTATCTGGTTAACAGTGGAAATAAACATACCAGGTGCCACTGCTCTCCACTACTGAATCTGCTACCTTATTGGATCTTTTTAGCCCATATCAGAGCCCAGTTAGGTTTGGGTCAAAAAGAAAAAGGAAAAAAAAAGAAAAGTTCTGCTTCAAGGGAACTATGAAGTTGGATTCTTTCTCATGGGAGCTCAGCATTCTACTCAGAAACAGATTTGAAATTCTCATATTTTGACCTGACTCACTTTGCTAGGTGGACACCTTAGTACAATTATGTCGTCTCACTGAATACAAAAGGACAAACCATGTTCACCAGCCATCAGCTGACCGCGAACAGGCAAATCCTTAACTTTCAAGAACAGTGGACAATAATCGTTCAGCTATGGAGAGACACACAAAATACTGTTACACACAGTGGGTCAAGACCACGTCCAATGTCTTATGAAAACGGCACAACTCAGAGAATGTTTTTACTCCACAAAGAAAATGCAGTATCTTTTTTGGTTCTTTTTTTTTTTTTTTTAAACACAGATTTATGCCCAAGCCTATGCACTTAACTTACTAACCAATATTGCGTCCCCACCCTGTTCTTTCCATTTGGTTCCATTTTACACATTTAAAACCAGAGGCTCTAGCGGTACAGGCGCCATCTTTGGCTCACACAGGTAGTTACATTAAAAGGTGGTGATACGAAATAAACCAGAAGGTAAGAAATACGGACACAAAAAGGAATTCAATTTCAGAATTCAGATTCAGATTTGGGAAGGAGAATGTCTTTCCTTGAAGATAATTATATTTAGCCGGTGTTGGAACTACATTAACAATGTTCTAACTTGGAATTCCCAAATATTTGCCAACTAGAGTCCTTGTTTGCCCTCTACCACGATAATACAATCTGGATTTATAAGTATGTTTAATTTGGTACATTCTCAAAATAGACCTTACTGAATAAGAAACAGATCAGCTTACTATAATGGCCAATTGATTTAGCAATGGTAATTCAGCAGTTTACTTGAAAGAGAGAGAAATGGATAGGTTTTCACAACTTAAACATCAAGAGATGACATCTCTCCATGAGTTAGGGACTGTTTAAATAAATCTCAAAAGTTCCTAATTTACTTTTGGTAGTTCCGTATCACTGACCTAGCCAAAGAATTTTCTGAAGTAAAATTTGAAGATGAAACTAGAGACAAAACAGTTTTAAGAACTGGGAATGGCTTCTTGAAATCAGACCACTTGAAGTATATTGTCTCCCTGACCACTCAGATAAATAATCCCCAAACCACGGATTTCTGAAGATAAAAGTATACAAGAGGCTGCAGAAAACAGAAAAAGAGAGAGATTGATCAATTGACCAATCAATCCAGGGCAGATTTCCTTTTTTGTATCAATGTTGACACCAGGACCACTCAGCCAAACAACTTAAATGAAGGTTTAAGCAGCGCAGTCAAGAAAAGTCCTCAACCTGACACAGACTTCAAGGAGATTCCAGTGCCTGAAAGACACAGAGGATTTTCCTCCAGCCAGTAAGGATTTCCTGATCACATGTTTTTGCCCCTGCATGAGATTTGGGCATAAGCAGGGGAAAGGACTGACTTAGGTAAAAATGCTTCTCCTAATCTCCTCCTCTAGTCACTAATTTTTAATGTAAACACAAAAGTGAATGATCTAGCTGATAAAAAGTTATAGACAGAGGTGAGTTAAGCTCCCTCCCTTCAGGGAACCCCTTCAGGTTCACCACCTAAGCCAGATGGACAGATTCTCCCAGGGACCCTGGAAATATAGAAGACTCCCTTGTCAAACAGAAGAATGTAGCTCCTAAGATGTGGCGTGGGAAATACAACCTATGTTCTTCTCTCCGGGAAGTCTCTAGGCAGCAAAGCACAGCCTCTAAATCAATGTTTCTATGCACAGTTTCTATTTTATTAAAAATATAAATATCTCTCGAGATTATCTTTGTTATCTGTTCGCTGTTAAGTACAGGGGACCTCATCAGATGACAGGTGTGATCATGCAAGTACACAAGGCATCATTCAAAGGGCAACACAGAGCATGGGAAGAAAGCACACCTGGCAGGGTACACACCACACAGCACTGAAAATTAGACTTCCATCGGCCCCTTAAAGAAGGGCTGTGAGGCACAGAGTCAAGGTCATCCGTCTTTGCTAACACAGACCTTTTCTTCTATCTGGAAAACATGGATCAAAACATTTGAGCTGGGTGAACTATAATCCATCTCTTCCCAGCACCGGCTGTAAAGTGACTCTCACATTCTAGAACAGAGATCTGATCTGTCACAGGAGTGAATTATCACACATTCATCAACCCTCCCCATGTTCCAAGTAACCCGGTTATCAAGGGTACTGTCCATTCTGTTCTCTACACTGAACGCTGATATCACGCATCCTTGGGGCCTGACAGAGAAGCTGGGTGGGCGGGTCTGTCTCTCACATCGACAGTATTTAGGGTCAGAGAACGTCCAGAAAAGTAGAGAGTCATTTCCAAAACTGGCTGATGCGCTGGGGTGGAATCATTCCCCGTACCTTACAAGAGGTCCCTAGGTCTTCCCCTATGGAGGTCCCCTGGGGGGATCAGCCCTGGTCAACATTCTGAGGGACCCCCCTGAGCCCCCAGATTTTAACACCTCCCCTCAGAATGTGTCCCTGTGGAGCTGGAGCCTGGGTCTGCCCCCTCCTCCCCCCTCCCATCAGCTGCACTAGTCACCACCCTCCTCTTCACAGTCAAACGTCAGCCAATAAACAGGAAATAGGATAAAACCAGATGACCAGCCTTAAGATTCTGTGCCTGGCTTGGAAACAAAGGGATAAGACTAAGACAGTGAAATAAAACTTGGTTGGGGATGAGATTGGACTTCCAACCTCCTCTCACCAGGAAGACCTTGGAATAGTCAAGTAAGAGGCACCCTGCTCTCCACTGGGCATACCTACAGGCCTAACCTAGTGACTTTCCCCAAATTAAATACACTGCATTGATATACATATTTTTTAAGCCAGCTGGGCGGGCCCCTCCCACAGAGCTCCCCAGGGACTCGAGCAGGTGGAGAAGCTGCACCGAGGCCCCTTGTCTGAGCTGCCCCCCCACCGACCCTCCCCGGGCACCACGCCTCATCACACGTCAGAGGTCCGTATGCTCGCATCATCCAGGCTGAACACAAACGGCTTCTCCTTGGGGTGCTGGGGCTCAGATCTGTGCCTCATTCGGGAGCTGGGGGACACCCCAGCAGTGCCGCTCTCCCCGGGGCGAGGCGTGAACAAAGAGTCCTCGAGAGTCTCTTCGGCGGGAAGCAGCTTTTCCCCAGCCCGGGGGACAGGCGTCCACGGCTGCCAGGACGAGGCCACGGAGGGGGCCTTGCAGAGGGCCCTTCTCTCCTCCACAGGGGGCCGCCCTCTGCACAAGGCAGAGTTGGGCCCCCCTGCAAGGCTGGAGCTTCCAGAGCGGGTCAAAGAAATGGACCTAGAAAAGGACATTTCCTACACAAATAAAGGAGGAGGGAAAGGACAACATGAGCTTTCCTGATGTTTATACCAAAGCCCCAGGAAGGGCTGCCCCACCCAGCATCACCACCTCCCTGGTCCAGACACTTGTCGACAGAAATCAAACACGGCCCACGGAATCCGCTCCAGATGTGCCAAGGTCTGCCTGGCAGGGAGACGCACCAGACGCATCAGAAGCTCTGGTTCTCTATCCAACCCTACCTCACCTTCTCCGACGACTCAGAGAAACAAAAAATAAAAATCTGTGCCCAAATCAGTCGAAAGAGAAAAACAAGCAAGACAGCACCGGGCTTCAGCTGCATCCAGGGACCGGGCAGCTTGCTCACGTCACCAAATAACACCTGCCCACTCGGGACAACTCACCGCGAGGCTGACGCTGCCTGGGGACAGGAAGGAAGTGACTTACTCTGGGGTGGCACTTGAGGGCCTGGACAGCTGCCCCGATCTCCTTAATCCAGCTGTGCATGTCTTCTGGGCTGTCTGCCTGCAAAACATCCCCCGCCCCGCACTTACTGAGACCCGTCTGGCACTGTGATCTCAGCTGTCACATCTCTGACTCAATTCTGAGTTCATAAAAATCACACCATTAGCACTGGAAGGGATCTCAGAGGTCATTAAGGCCAGTGGCCCTCAGTCTTCTGAGGACATTTTTCCCCCCTGCAGAATCGTATCTGACACCCCATAAATAAAAGGGCTCAAAGTGGAGCCTCTCGGCAGTGGGGCAGAGGTCACAAGGGAGGCAGAGCCTGGAGGCCCATCCCTGTAGAAGCCCCTCACCTCCTGCTTTACAGAAAAGGAAAATGAGGCCCAGAAAACTCTGGATTCCAGGTCTCCTGCTTCCCAGTGCAGCCCATCTTTTCATCCATTTTTCCTCCAGGAACAGGGCTTCTCTCAAAGCACAAGCTAGCCTGGTTTGTCCTGAATCTCGCCCAGACCTCCAGAGTTGTGAGATTTGGAGCACCAAGCTCCCCAGCAGGTAGGGGCACTGCTGAGCCCTTAAGAAGTGCCTCCCCCAGAAATACCGGGCAGCCCCGGAAGGGGGCAGCAGCGGCTCTGTGAAGAAAGGGAGGAAAATCCGAGGCCAAGCCACAGCAGGCCGAGCCCTGGGAATTCTCAGCGTTTTCCAGCTTTACAGAGGCTGAGCTCAAGAGAACCTGGCAAACGTTTGCTGAGGCCTGACTCAGTGTTACACGTGGCATCAGGTACCCGGCACAGCCATGGGACCAAGACTGAATCCTTGACCTCCAGGAGTGTGTGTTTGTTAAGCTCTCTCTGTCCCCCTGCGCCTTCCCTTGACAGTGGAGTGTCACCCAACATCACCAGTATGCATCTGCATGCCTGTGCATGTGTGAATGCAAACATCACGCGCTGGCCTGCAAAATTCTCCACATGTTCCCCTCCCTCTCCCCATCCCTACAATGATTCTTTTTCTTTGCACTGTATCAAGGTAATATATGACCAGGTTTTTTTAAACCCTCAAACTTGCATCCCTACCCCTTTCTGTCACCCCAAACAAACCCTCCTTGGTTAGGTGTGTGCAGGACACTTACAAGGGAAACAGTTTCACACCCTGGCACTGGGCCACAAAGAGCTGCAAGTGCACCTGCCCTCTCACTGCCCTGGACTTTGCCCAGGTACTTGACAATCTGGTGGTTTTCCAAGAAAAAGAAATCCATTCCTCATCTAAAAGGACATCCAGGACAAGGTCTCCAAGATTCCTCCAGAAGGCACTTTACTAGTTATGAGGACTAGCTGTTCCACAAGCAGAACTATTGGGAAAAATTAAATGAACTCATTTAGGTAAAGCAGTTTGAACAGTGCCTACTACACAGAAAGGGCTTCACAAGTATTAGTCATTACTGTTTTATTATTATTATTATATGATATGAGGGACAGAAATGAAGCCTCAAATTCCAATATTATAAATATGTTCCCTGTCTCCTCCCTGGGACTTTTTTTTTCTTTCATTTTCTTCATTTTTTTTTTCTTTCTGTAGATAATTCTCACCTAAAGGATCAAATTGCTGGGATCAAATAAGATAACATATTTGAGGGAGGAAAAATTCCATATTGGAATTGGAATAAAATGGCAGCAATTAAACTGACCATGAGCAGAAAAGCATTTCTTAGCCATCTTCACAAGAGCCCCGTGATGACAGACCAGGAATCAGTTTCCAGGGCTTTTAAGGTGCTCTGTCTGCTACCCCAGCAAAACACACCCCCCCATGTTAAATGTTACTCCCCCCGCCCAAGCCACAGGCCACCTATCTGACTGCCCTTTAAGACCTCACCAACAAACACATCTTCTCTAGGAGCAATCACACCACAAGCCTAGGGGGCTTCACCCCAGCTCCACTCTGCAAGGAATCCCTGAATCAGAGAAAACCAGGAATCACCTGACTTCCCATCAGCAGATTCAAACACAAGAATCAAAATCCTCTAAAGCTCGTTTCAATCATTTCCAATTGTCTAATAGAAATAAGACTGCTATTCACATCTTTGTGGAGAAACCCCTTTTCATACTTGGGAGTCGTCAGCTCCCAGGGAAATTGCTGGATGAAAGAGGACACATTCTTTTAAGGCTTTTGTTACATGTGGCCAGAGTGATTTCTAGCCAACAATATAAATTTCATTTACCAACTGTGTATATACTATATTTTTTTACATGCACCCTTGTTAGAATTAAATATTGCAATAAAAAAATCTGTGCTAGCAGGGAGGGTATAGCTCACGTGGTAGAGCGTGTGCTTAGCATGCACAAGGTTCAATCCCCAGTACCTCCTCTAATAAATAAATAAACCGAATTACCTACCGCCCCCTAAAAAACCCCACAGAACAAACAAAAAAATCTGTGCCAATATGAAAGGCAAAATAATTAAATCTCTTTCTTAAAAACATTTAGTAATTGAGATGGAAATTATTTGCTAATTATATTTCTTCCTTGTTTCTTTAATTCCATTTAAGGACATTTTTCGGTCAGATAACCTAGGGAGTTAACCGAGCCATGAGGATAATAAACATGAGGAAACATTATTTTAATGCTTAGTGATGTTTAAAATCTTATCAAATAGAAAAGGAGATATTGATTCCACATGAGAAGAAATAGAATATTATTTTACTGAGATCACAATTAAAACCTCTATTAGTAGTTTTAAGAGCTGGAATCCACTGGCAACAAAAATTCAGTGAAACCTCAAAAACAATATGCAAAAATCATGGTGTATGTGTGTATCTGTCTTTTATGGAAAGCCTGTGCTTAGCTTTCATCAAAAAACTCAAAAATATCTTAAAACCACATCACAAAGGTAGCTTCATGAGCCAAAGGTAAAAAAGAGCTGAAACCCATCAACCCCACAGTGAATTCCTGAGACTTAAAAAAAAAAAAAAGCTTGAAACTCAGCAGAACAGAAAGGGAGGTACCAGGCTGACCCTTCCTCTCTTCCCGGTCTGCTTAAGTGTGGGCATATTTCTCATGCTTGGCTCAAAACAAAAAGAAGGGCTTCTGTCCTTGAGGGCAGTTTTTGAGGTGAGAGGAACAAAGAGTATTAAAATGAGTCACTGCAGTCTGTGGTTTATTGCAGTCCAACAGCTTTCATTGAGTATCTGCCATGAGCCCCGCACCGTAACAGATTCGGTGGTTTCAAGCAATGAATGCGACAGGTCATCAAGAAAAGGCTTCCAGCATGTACTTCTGGTTCCCTCCACTGCAGTCGTCCAAAATGTTAGACAGCTCCTTCCTCATCCTATTCCCAGCCTCTGCAGCCCTCCCTTCCCAACAGCTCATAACCCCTACCCTCTCCCCAAGAACCAGTCCCACCTTTAGACACAGCCCTGCCACATGATTCATCAGCTGTGCACTACATGGTTCTAGGGGATGTCATTCACCTTGTAGTCTAAATTAAAATAAGCACCCCAGGAGTTCTAGCCCAACACTCTGTAATCCATGGGTGAGCCCTCTGTGATTATTCTTACCCTGACATAGCCCCTAGTTCTGACAATCAGGCTTCTGCCAAGTCACCAAAACCAGTCTACACTACATTTCTCATTTTGAGCAACTGATCCTCCTCTTGATAAGCTACTTAATACCCCTGACCCTCTGTGACTGGGAAATGGGGAAACGGTGAACTCTGCTTGCCTTGTATTCCAAAGACTGGAATCTCATTTGGAACCCTTGCCCCAGACTGAGAACCTGCTAACATCACAAACTTAGATACCTGATTACCTCCAGATCTTGGATCTTTGTCACCATGATGACCCATCTACCAACTCACCCAGTTACCTCAAGGTGGTCTCCCGATTCAGAGCCAATCTCCCCTGGCTGCCTATGGTCACACCTGTTACATCTTGGGTTCTGCACTGAGCTTTCTTTCAGTTTTCAAACAACACAAATGAGGTCTTGCTCAAGCATCTGGTACCTCTCAATCAGTACCATAATTCACCAGGTTTATAATCTCAAACAAGTAATTTGCCTTCAGATACTCCAGTTCCTCACCTCTAAAGTGGAGACGATCTCAGAGACAGCTGAGAATTAAGTGAGAATTAAGTCCTGCCTATAAACTGCCTGGCACCGTGCCTGGGACATCGATGTGAGCAGTGATACATAAATGTGACATCTAAAGCCAAGGTGACATAGAGGTAAATGACCAACCCCTAAGTAGCTAGAATCCAGCCCCTTTCTGTCCGCAAGTCTTTCCCTTCTGTCCAAGGAGTTCGTTTTCTCTGCCTGGATCTGCCTGGCTCTCTGGTCGAGCTTTTCCAGACACCAAGGAAACGTGGTTCCTTCAGGCAGATTTACTAAACATCACCTCGGGCAGCGGGTCAGAAGGCCCCTCTGGCGTGGTGGGTAAAATTGCTGACACCACACTGTCTGAGTAGCTACTGTATTGTTTCACCTTCTGCATGAAACATGATTTTTACTTGAAATGAGTAACTGGCAAACTGTCAGTCAAACTTAATCAGACACAGGGGCATGGCCAGCTCTTTCTGAAAAACTAATGCAATGAGCCTGTTACATCAAGGAAAATCAGGCAAGTACTTTTTTTTTTCCTTTTGCATATGATGAAGTTTGAGCTTTCAAAGAAAAAAAAAAAGAGAATTTCAGGAACCTTGTATCCACCTCCATGAGTTTGACAGCTTTTCACAAAGACTTGGTTTGATGTTACCAGTGGTGACATTAATGAATATGATTTTTCTGTATTATCTGATAAAATGTGTCAACATTTAGAAGGTCTGCGCACCTCAGTCCAGACCACTAATTTCCAAATGACCAATGCGTGCAGTTGCAAAATCATGCATCGGTTAAAAAAAAGGATCCATTCAATGTGTAAAACGAACCAATGGATTTCAACCCAAGAGTATGAACGTTTACTGGTGTCAGTTTCCAATTCCACACTGCACCTAAACATTAAGAAACTATTTGTCAAGTTTGGTATAGAATCAAATCATCTGAAAGAGCTATTAAAATATTTCTTTTTTCCAAACACATAACTGGGCAGGGCCAGATTTTCATCATTTTCTTCCATCAAAACAACATATGGCCACAGACCGAATGCAGAAGCAGATAGAAAAGTTCTGCTGACTTCTAAAGAGCTAGTCATTAATGAGGTTTGCAAAAATGTGAGGAAAAAAAAAAACCAACAATGCTCCTCACATTGCTTTTTTGTTTTAGTGATAGTTATTTTTCATAACATGTTACTTGGGTTCACATTAAGGAGTTTATGGTTGCTGGTTTAAAATGAACAAATACATATTTTTAATGGTTTTTTAATCTCTATTCTTCACCAACTTTCTATTCTCTTTGAGCTGGGTGCCAAACACAGATCCGTCCATTCGCTCATTTATTTCTGCAGGGCGATGCTAAGTGTTCTTTTACCCCAGAAACGTGGGCGCAGATGGCAGAGGAGGGCAGAAGTGATGATGAGGTTCTGGTCAATGTGTGGACACTCGGGCAAAGGATGTCGTGTCATTGGAACATTTTTGGTGGTGGTTGGCATACATGTTTCCCAAATCACTATCTCCAGTGCAAAGCTCTGTTCTACACTCTTACCAGCATAATCGTTCACTTGACAAATATTTACTTGGTAACACCAACGTGTCAGGCACCACCTTAACAAAGGGCCTTCGTAACAGGTCACCCTGGATGTCCCAGAGGCACTCACAACCACCAGTGCGAGGCTTATCTCTGCTCTCAACAATCCCTTCTCCCGTGTGTCCATCCATCACGGTGATCACTGCCTTCAGCCATCCTGAGGACCAAGTCAGATATCTGAGCAGGACCCTCCCCTCCCCTCTCTCCCTTCATCCCACAGCCAGTCAATCCGAAAGTCCCTGAAAGCTTTAAAATCTCCCACTTTTCTCCATCCACCTGAGATCAGGCTGCCTTCATCCCTCACCTAAACTCTTACAATAGACTCTCAACTGCTCTCCTGAGCTCCTGTCTTACCCTTTCCTTGTCTGTCCCCGACCCTGCTCCGGCCAGGACACTCACAGCCAGCGTCCTGTCAAAGGGGCCAGGGCCGAGGTCTGTCCTCTCCACTGTACAGACAGAAAACAAGGCTCTGAAAGTTAAGTCACTTGCCCAAGTGTTATTTTTAGAAGGCAGATCTGATTGGGTCATTTCCCTCCGCCCCCAAACTTAGTTTAACCTCCAGGATAAAATGCAAGCTCTCTGACAAGGCCCACAGGGCCCTGACCCTCCCCATCAGCTCTCCAGCGCCTGGTCGCTCTCTGACCCTCTGATCTGCAGGCTTTTTTGACACTTGCTGTTTGCTGTTCCCTCTGCCCCAGGGGCCACTCTCTCCCCAATGGACTCAGATGTGTCTTCCTTCAGGAGGCCTCCCCTGAGTCCCTGAAGTCCCCTTCTTAGGAGTTCCCATGGCAACCGCTACTCACTCTAGGGCGAGCCCTTACCACCTTGGTTTTGGGTTTTGTTTTTTATCTTTTATTCTCCCAATCCCACCCCGTGAGGTTGTTTCATATTTGTAACACACTGAAGTTCACCTGTCAGATTCTGCACGCCATGCTAGGATCACATGACCTCCTAAATGACTTTTTAGATTTGCATCAAGGTTTATGCTACATGCTGTAAAGTTCTGTTTCATGCATCTGCCACTACACTATCATACAGAATAGTTTCACCGCCCTAGAAGCTCCCCTGCGTTCATCTCTCCAACCCGCCCTCCCTCACCTCCTCACACTGTTTTAACTGCCCATTTACTTGACTATCTCCCTCTACAGTTCAGAATCTGTTCCACCGAACACCGCAGTGTCCCCAGGGTGAGGCAATGCCTGGCCCTCTGGGGATGCTCTCCAGATATCTGTTAAATCCAAAAACTAGAAGCTCTCTCTCGTTGCACCCACGGCTCAAATTTTGTGCCTGGATGGCGGTGGAGCAAACTCTTAACACCCCAGCAACACGCTCCACAGCCCTTCCCAGAGGACACGCGCTTGTCTGAATGGAGAGGACCCACAGGTGCGTCAGGCTGCGAGCCTGCCTGCTGGGCTCAGGTTGGGGACCAGTTCTGAGGGAGCTGCTGCCCAAGAAAGGGGGAAAGGGCGACCCCACGAATAGGTAGTGAGTGGGGAGTCCGCCGGGAACCCTGAAAAGCTTTGCTCGGGGAGCCCCACTTTTAAACCATCACCCTCCGTGGTGGTCCTAACGCCAGAAATGCAGCATCATGATGAGGCTGCAGGAATGAGCTGTGCGGACCGCTGGGTGGGCTGGGGAGGGGACTCGGCCTTGAAAGTCTAGACCGTGCTGGAGGCTAGAAATCTGCCTTTCCAGCTCCTATGACTTCAGACGGAGTTGGGAGAACTCCAGAGCTGTGGGTGGAGGGGAGAAGCTTCTGAGAGCTGAACGGTTGGAGCCCAAACAATGGCTTGCTCTGTGCAGCTGGGCCGTGCACCTGCTGTCTGCACAGGGCCCTCTGTGCTCCTGTCCTTCCGCACACAGCGATGTCCACACAGACGGGGCTTATAAATACCCTCCGAAGGAGAAGTGAAACCACTGACCAGTTCTCCTTTTCTCTGCTTAGCTGGCGCCCAGCAGCCGAGAGCAGCTGGTACAAACTCACATTCCCCAGTTTAGTGGCTCGACCCGCTCATTATTTTATGGTTGGGAAGCTCTAGGCAAACATCCTGTTTAGAATAAAATGGGACTCAGACTGATGATCAGGGGCTAAATTTACCACCTAGAAACTTCACACAAACTAAAAGAGAAAGGCCAAGGGGAAGGCAGGCCTACAAGTCCACCTTCTACAGAAAAGGACCGCCGGCGTCTTCTCGGAAGGAACTTGTTACCTGCACGTAGAAGGTCCTCGAGCTTGTGATTATTTCAAACAGGTTGTCCCTCATTAGGAGATCGCTAGACAGAGAAAGAGAAAGAGAAAGTTACTGGGCATGCTGGTCACAGGCTGAGAACCTGATGTGCCCGACATCAGGCACCCATGTCCCCTCCTGTGAAGGGGGGTCCCCAGCCGTCCCTTCTGCGGCCCCGGCCTCGGAAGACATCACAAGGTCTCCTCCGGCTTCCCTTCCTGGAGAGTCTCAGGTAATTTAACCATCCCTGTGGACACTCCCCTAATGCACACCACCACCAGTTCTAACAAGACAGAGCTCCTTTGCCTCTAAAACCTCTTGCCTCATCTGTACCACACCCCATACTACCTACACAGGTGTGTTTTTTTAGTGGCTAAGATGTGTCAAGTGCTTTGTGAGAAGTACCGCTTTGAGTGTTTCTACTTCAAGGTCAAGTGGACGGAAATTTTAGTGGCATATATATACATATGTATGTGTGTATACACACACATACATATATAAACATTCACACAGTTATATGTCCATTATATCTCAATTCTATATAAATATTTATATATATACATATTTGTTGGAATTTAATGGACATATATAACATTATATTAGTTTCAGGTGTACAACATGACTCCTTATTTGTATATATTGCAAGTGATCGATGGGAGGGAGGGTATAGCTCAGTGGTAGAGTGCATGCTTAGCATACAGAAGGTCCTGGGTTCAATCCCCAGTACCTCTAATTTAAAAAAAAAACAAAAAAAACTAAAAAAAGATCACTGTCTAGTAAGGTCATTACTACACATAGTTACAATTTTTTTTTCTTGTGATGGGAACGTTGAAGATTCACTCTCTTAGCAACTTTCAGATATATTCTAGTAATGTTAACTAGAGTCACCATGCTGGACACTCCGTCCCCAGGACTTACTTATTTTATAACTGGAGGTCTGTACCTTTCGACCCCCTTCACTCATTCCGATCATCCCCCAACCCCTCGCCTCTGACAACCACCAACATGTTCTTCGTGCTTTGTAATGTGTTATTTCATCCAATCTTCACACCAATCCAATGAGGCAATAAGGCTCAGAGAGGTGACGTGACCTGTCCGTGGTGCCGGAGTAAGTAAACGGCAGGGCCAGGATTTGAAGCCAGGTCTAACCCCAGAGTCCCTTAATTACTCCACCACCAGCAGTTTCCCCTAAGGAACCCAACTCTCTCAGTCTCAGAGCCTTTCTCCACCCACACAGCAACTTCATCAGCTTCCTTAAATTCCTGCTCTCACGAGGGGATGCTAAAGAGGCGAAAGGGCAGGAGGGAGTGGACCACTTTAAGATGCTTCAAATCGGGTGTGAGCTTTGGAAGAGGGATCCTGACTTCCGTAAGGAAGGAGGCAAGAAGCAGCAGACACTCAGCCACCAACCTCAAGTCATCCGAAATTATTTAGTGTGAAATGCCTGCTCTGTGTATCTGGTCACTGTGGGGAAATACACAGGAGCAAAAAGATCCAATTCCTTCCCCATCAAAGAACATGACAAAGCAAAACTATACAATCAGATGTTGGACGGTGTGTTATTTGCCTAGAGGTGGAAGGATTTTAAGAAAGGGCTGATCCCAGGCAGGGCTGACTTCAGGAATCAGGACTTGGAAGAAAACGGCAGGTGCTTGGCCAGTGACTTGGGCATCCGGACAAAGGAGGAGCCTCAGACTAAAGACTAACATGGGAGGGGATGGATGGCAATCGACGTTCGGACAGACCTGGGACCCAACGCGACTCCACTGGGAAAAGCTATTTTAGGAATACGTTTGAAACTTTGCGAGCTTTGTACTCCGACGGTAAAACAGACACCCAAAGCCCTCCTCTACCAAGCTCACCACCACCAAGGCAACTGGTACAATGAACGTCACAGAGTGGTGGTCATTTGAAAATCATTTCACTAGCTCTTAGAATCACTTTCTGAGTATCTGAGGGGAGATGGCTCTTCTTTCTGGCTAAAAGAGTCTAACCTTTTAAACTATTCATGCACAGACAGTACAATCATGTAGCCAACTGCAGAGGAGGTAAAAGCAAAACAAGGAGGAAATCCCCCGCCTTTTCACATCTACTTCTCAGGATGCATGTTGCAATTCAATTCAATTCAATTCAATTCAATTCAATTCAACTCAACAAATGTTAACTGACTATTCAGATGCCCTAAACCCCCATGACTGCACAGCCTTGGGAACCTCCTTCCCCAGGGGTCTTCAACTCCCTTACTCCTTTCACTGGAGTTCAGCCTGACTCTGGCAAAGTGCAAAGAACTCTTAGGACTGAACCTGATCTGGGTTCGCAGAGCTGCCCCAAGATGTTTATCTAGCTGCACAGGCCTCCAGGGTCAGGAAGCCCTGCGAGGACCCCAAGCTCTCCTCCACCCACTGTCACCTCTGGAGCCTGGCTTCTGGAACTTCCCTCTGTAGCTCTGTAGCTTTCACGAATTATAAACTGTCCGTGGGAACTTCCCTAATCTTCCACACTCTGCAACTGCCATTGGCAAGACTCAGGACAGTCCCTGCTTCCCTGGGCCGTGCGGCCCCTTGCTGTCATGAAAGACCCTCCTACACCTTCATGTGATAATAGTCTGCCCGCTGCCAACAGCTTCCCTGGTGACTCTGGCTCTGCCCACACAGTCTGTGGGACGGAGATACAACATACTGTCCCTGCAGACTGAGGGCCGAATGAGAATCTGTTAGATGCCCAGATGCCCTGGGGTTTCTGAAGTTGGGTTCTTGGGGCCCCTGTACTCGTGTTTGAGCTGGGAGAGCCCTGGAAGGGGCCCGGGTTCGAAACTCATAAGACGCACCATGGCACTTGAAAGGTAACCATTTCCTGGTGGAAAAAGGAACACATTAAAAATACTCCCTCTTCCTGCCCAACAGCATTGCTGTGAATCACCCTGGTGTTAAGAAGACATTAGGGACTTTGTCAAAAGGAGGAGAGAAACGGCCTAAGTTCAGGGCAGAGGCACCGGCAAAAGAGGGGTCTGCCCAGAAATGGCGAAAAGCAAGAGACTAGGAGCACAGCCCCCTGAGCCCCAGTCTCCTGTGAGATGAGCGTCTCCCTCTGACACCGGAGAATACGCTCTCTCCTTTCTTCAGAAAATAGTTTCTCCATCAGAAAACTATTATGGCGGGAGGGTATAGCTCAAGTGGTAGAGCACATGCTTAGCCTGCATGAGGTCCTGGGTTCACTCCCCAGTACCCCCTCAAAAAATAAATAAGTAAACCTAATTACCCCTCCAAAACAAAATTAAAAAAAAATCTATGACAAACGCTCATGTTCGCAGGAGTGAGAGTAAAGGGACATAAGAGGGGTATTTTGCTCAGCTTGGATGCAGAGTGTCAGCTGCACGATGCCAGCAAGAAGACAACGTCCCGCTCTTGGAGGAAGACTCTGAAAGGCAGCCTCAGGAGGGTAGTAACTGAAGAAGGGCACGGGGGATTCGGATCACAGAAGAATGTGCAGAGACAATTACCCAGACTTGACCAGACACTCATGGGTCTTGAGAACATCCTTGAGGAATATGGTCCGCAGTGGTTCTCGGTCCTGTGGGAGAAACGGAGAGAGGGTGACTGAGGCTGTCAGCCCAGACCAAGGGGCCCAAACGCCTCCCTCCTCAGGGATGATTGGCCAAAACCAGGTCACAAGCAAGACAAGGTCTCAGAATAATTGAGAGGGGGGAAAAAAATCTAATACGGTGCTCTGTGGCTCTGACCACCGAGGCAAGGAGGAAGTGAAGGCCACTTTCACGTGGCGGTGAAGATGCCCACACAGGACGGGTGGAGGTAGGACACAGGCACTCTGCAGGCTGCGTGCCCACCTCTCGGCTCAGACACGCACGCGGGGGTGTGAGTCACGCGCCTCTCCCCTCCACCGCCTCCCAGGAGGCCCCAGGGTGACTACCCACCTGCTCACACTTGAAGTAGCAGATGGTAAAGTCATCGAGCGCAAAGAAGCGCCGTTTCCAGCTCTTCCGCTGAAATAAAGGGTAAAAAGCAGGGCTTCAGAAGAGATCTCAGCAGTGGGGGGGTCGCTCAGGGTTGGGGGGTATGGCCAGGACTCCTTCCTATTCAGCAACACCTGGGAGCTGAAGCTGCGGGCGGGGGGAGCGGGGTGGGGGGTGTCCTATTCCAAACCTCTCCCAGGTTTGGGCGTGGCTGGCTCCATGCTCCTCCGTGCAAACCACCCTCCCCTCTGCCTCGCGCACACTCACGGGCTCCCAGGGTCCCGGGAACCCCCTCCCGCCCGGACACTGACGCTCACCACGTTCCCTTGCTTCACACAGTAGCCGCTCTTAATGAGGGGAGGCCCGGGGGGCGCACGGCAGCCCGTCGTGGGGATGTAACTCTGAGACCTTCGGAGGATGGCGTGGGAGCCGGGCTCGCTCCCCTCCTGCCCATCCCCACCGTTCTGCGAGGAAACAGGGGCAGGGTTAGCGAGCCACGCCCCCTGCCCCGCCCCACCCCTCTGGCCAATCATCTCTAGCCTCCCGGCCCTACGGCACTCAAATCAGAAATAAACAAGAAAATAAGCATTTGCTTCGCTTCCGTCACGCACTGTACTGGGAGCTCTCACAGAACAAGTACGGGGAGGTTGGGCGGACCCAGGATAAAAGGACAGAGACTGGAGAATGCAAACCGCAAGAGGGGATAAGCACCCCGACGGGAGGAGGGACAGTGGGCCTGTTTCCAGCCGCCCTCGGCCCCACTTCCTCTGGGGTTTACAAGTGTCAGCCTCCCACGTGTGGTGCAGAGGAGTACCGGCCACAGCTTCAGGGCGCGGTGGCCTCGAATTTCTGCTCTGCTGTTACTCACGCCCACCCCTGCCCTGGATTTTCTTGACCACTCCATGTGCACTGGCTCCCCCACCCCACCCCAACTCTCCCCTCAGTCCAGTCCTCTTGTCACGTGACTGGCACACCACGGACACCACCGAACCCCACGACCCCCTGGCAGCCCCAGGCCCAGCACCTGGTTGATGGGCGTGTGCACCACCACCCCTCCGATGATCTCAGTCTTGTAGGCCACCTGTGGCTTCTTCTCCAGGGCCGGAGGAACTGCTAGGCTTTTGAGAACTTCAGTCGTCAGGGGCAGGTTCCCAGCTTTGGGTACCTGGAAGAATGACAGCATGGTTAACAGGCTTAGGAAAAGCAGCGAGCCGCAGCAGGAGAGGGTGTGGGGAGGAAATCTAAGGTATCCAGTTACAGGAAGACGTCCTTCTCTCCACTGCCCTTCCGTCCATCCAAACCTGGATGTGATGAAGTCTGCAAGCCAACAAATGTATTGAGCACCTACTGCGAGAACGCCCGTGTCTGGCTAGAGACCAAAGATAAAACGGCAAACATAGACCCTGCCCTCACGCCATGTACACGCTGATAGGGGAAAGTGGCAAAAATCACAGGGCAAGACTAACAATCAGAGTAATGACAAAGCGTGGCGAGTGCCATGAAGACAATAACCAGGAGCTGAGAGAGACTGCGGCAGCGGAACTACTTGAAATGAGTGGCCGGTGTGGCTGGTGTGGTTGGCGTGGCTGGAGGAGGTCTCTAGGGGAGATGGTAAACAGTAATGTGGAGGATAAAAAGGAGGCAGGAATGTAAAGTTGGGAGAAAGCACGCTAGGGAGGAGGTCAGATGCGTGTGGTGTACCGTACAGGAGTCGGAGAGCATGAGTCCTGGGGCCCGACCTGTCACTAACTGAGGGACATAATCATGGTGTTGTCCTGGTCAACAAATGACAGAGAATATAAATTTTAAAACTTTAGGAGCACAGATAAAAATACAAAAGTATTTTAAGAACAAAATACTCTAAGTAACCTTTTACAAACGGTGCTACCACTTAACGTACGTAGCTCTCTCTGCAGAATGAGTTGTCTTTGCTCCGCTCCTTGGTGGAGATGGAGCAACACGGCCGATAAAGAGTCACAGAAGTCTTAGGGTGAGTTTGAGACCACAAGTTGCAAACTGGTGGCTCAAAGGCAGACTTTGCCCCAACTGCGTTTTATTTGTCCCATCCAGTGTGTGTTTCAATCTGCAGTTAAAATCTGGGATATTTCATATATAAATCCTGATTTTCAACTGTGCCATACTTCACTCTTCAAAAAGGGAATAGATCCTTCAATTTGCCACAGTCTGACCATCCTCCCAACCCGAAGCTGTGTGTCAGGTACCATTTATCCTCATTCACGTCACCACTTTTCTTCCTCCTTGTCCATTTCTCATTTATTCTGGAAACGCTGATGAAATCTTTCACCACAAGAGAGGCCCAAAAGCAATCCAGTCATTTGCCCAAAGCCATGATTAACACCTGAACAGAGACCAGACTGTCAGGCCAGAAATCTACCCTCTCCTTTCCTTCTGGCTGGAAAACAACAGCGACTTGATTCATTGCTTTGGGCATCCGTTCAGTTCCAGGCAAAGTACACATCTGTTTACCAAGTTCTCTCTCATCTCAGGCCATCTTACCAGATGGGCACTCTTTTCTCCATTTCGTAGATGAGGTAAACTAAAGCTCACTAAAACGAAGCAACTGCCTCACTGCTAAGCACCACTGCCTACCTACCTACCTGGTCCACCCTTTCCAATTTCTCTGCGTTTGGCTCTGGTGTGATGAAATTCTTTAGGGAAGTGGAGCAGGTATGGGATGGCTAGTGATATCACCATGGAACAGCACAACAGCCCCCAAAGGAATTCCTGAAATTCAGCAAAGAAGGAGGGAGGTTCACAGTGGCCAGAAAAGGACTCACGGAAGCTGGGCTGTTGCATTGCCCACTCAACCCTATCAGCCTACCTCAAGGACCGCTGGGGGTCCCCGTTCACACCCCTGCACTGTGGGCTGCCTCTGACCAACCCGGAGCCCATTCACAGCCATTTCCACTTCCGGAGACTCTGAATCAGCCTGTGGAGGACAAACTCCCCAAAAACTATGGTCCAGAGCTTGAAAACAAGGTCATCCCCTTGGCTTGTACACCTCCCAGAGGCCAGATGAAAGGTGGGCACTCTACACACGACACTGTGGAGGGCTCTCTGATGGGGGCAGTCCATGGGGCGGTCCACGGGGAGCCCCCATTTGCAATGCGAAATGATATTTGCAAGGACTTGTCTACAAGGAGTAACCCAACTTGGGAGGGAAGGGAAAGCTGTAATTTACTCATACGGCCCAATTTCAATCCTTCTGAAAAAAGGCAGTGAGTTGAATAATGTGTCCCCGCCAAACTGTCCACCCACAACCTCAGAAACATGACTTTATGTGGAAACAGGGTCTTGGCAGATGTCATTAAATTAAGATGAAGTCACACTGGTTTAGGGAGGGCCCTGAGCCCAAGGGCTGATGATCTCATAAGAAGAGGAGAGTCACATGGACACGCAGGCCGCACAGCGATGGAGGCAGACGGAGGGATGCGGCCACGGGCAGGGAACACCCAGGCCAGCCGGGGGCCGGTGGGAGCCGGAAGGGGCGAGGATGGGGTCTCCCCTTGAGCTTTCAGGGGCAACATGGATGGCCCGGCCAACAGTTTGATTTCAGACCCTCAGGACTTCGGGAGAATACACGTCTGCTGCTTTAAGTCGCCCACTTTGCTACGACAGCCATAGCACCCAAACTAGTACTCCAAGAGAACCCAGTTCTCTATAATCACCACATGCCGACCATTATCTTCAGTCCGGGGACTCAGTGACCTGGCACTAAATGACCAGTGATCTGTGGGCAGAAAAACCGACCCGACCCCGGGCAGGCCACTCGGATCTCTGCGCACATCCATCTCCTCCTCTATAAATGGAGGGAGTAACACCTGCTCCTCCGAGTTAAGGTCTTCACGAGGCTAAAACGAAGCCATGGACGTAAAAGCGGCGTGTAATCTAACATCTTTTGCAATAGCTGCTTGTTTTTCACATTTTTAATGAACTCTTTCAGGTCTTGAAAGTCTGAGGGTCCTGGGTTTGAATCTCAGCTCTGCCATTTACTAACCTCTAGATTTGGGACAAGACTGATTTCCGTTTTCCTCACCTAAAAATGAGAGTAAAACCACCCATCTCACGGGAGTGATGAGGAGTGAATGGTACACCACGTGAGAAAGCCTGGCTTGAAACACTGTGTCTTCCATCTCTGCGTCCCCTCAAGATTCTCTGCTTTGCACACAAGGTGCCTTGAGGTAAATATGCACATAATTAGGAAGGAGAGTTCCCCTCCCCTTCCTTCTGTCCCACAGGGACCTCTGGACGGAGGAGTGAAGAGACGGATAAACAGAGCAAAGGGAAGGAAGGGAGATCCTGGGGACGTGGAGCCCCTGCAGAGGTGGTGACAGCCCGACAGGCCTCTGGGCACCAACACGTGCCCTCCCACTCCGGTCACTCATCACTTCTGCTCAGCGGGGCCACGAAAGAGCACGGGGAACCAGCTTTTTTTCCAGCAACTCTACACTCAAGGCACTAAAGCAAGGCTGAGAGGCCGTGCTGCCTCACACGCTGTGGAGCCCAGCTCACCAGGCAGGAAGCAAGGAAGGAAATCCAGGGGGAAACACTGAATGAGAAGAAAGTACCAGACATTGAAAGAAGCCCGCCAAGTTGTAGAAGACACAGAAAGGTGAAGACCCCAGCGCGAACAAAGAACATCATCATTCCAGACTCACATACATAAGCACGTGGTTAGCAGACATATGTGGGCTGGCAGCAACCCCCTGCTCCCCACCCCACCGTTTCTTTCCCTTTGCACAGGTTTACCGAGGTTTATCAGAATAACAAGCCAACAAGCAAAACCGCCTCAGTGACTGAACGGTACCCTGCGTGGGTACAGATTTCTCCTATTAATTTATTCATGGGAACCCTTAGGTATTAGACAGAATAACCTGCCCCAGCAAAGACTGGTTATCCCTGGAAGTCACTAGAACGTAAGCATTTCTGACTGTATGATACAGAAAATCAAACTTTTCAACAAAGCCTCTTTTGTATACCAGAAGTCCGCCTGTGTTATTGGTTCAAGGTCCAGTTTTTTCCCAGACATACAGTTTCTCCCTCTCTTCCTTCCTACCCTTCTTTTTCTGTATTTCTAAGAAAAAAGAAAGGCGTTCTTCGTCAGCCAAGTCCAGGAAAACAGATCTTCATAGAACTAGCTCAGCGGTGCCTCTGAACGGAAGGCTTTCCCAGGACGGGTGTGTGGATGGCTTGGACAGGTCCCAGGGCCACCTCTTAAAGTCAGAGAGTCTCCCCCGGGCCAGGAAAAGGCCCTGACTTCCCTCCTCATCTGTGTTTCCCATTACTGTTCCTCGTAGTCAGCAATCCATGTTCCAATCCCACCAGGTTCTGAATCAGCATCCCAGAATGACCCAGACCACGACCAACCAGGAGCCCAAGGGGACACTCCACAAACTTCCCCTTGAACTTGATTCACATTCAAACTCTCAGTTCAACTTGCGGTTAGTCAGCAGAGGTGTAAGAGGGAGGGGACTTAGTGTGGAGTGGGGTCCGGGGAAAGTCCCCGCTGCCATCTGATGGGGAGGGGGTCCTTCCCCACTGAAATGGGCCACCTGCCGGGCAGGCTCATACGTACAGTGATTTTGCTGGCTTGGTTCAGGGCTTCGACCCAGTCCTTCAGATCTTTCTGGTCATTGGCTTGAAGAAAATACCTCTGTGACAGGGCATTGATGACTGAAAAAGGCACAGGGATGAAAAAGAGGAACCCAGGTTATAAGCTAGGCAACACAAAGACTCCATAAAAAACTAAGGTGCTGGACCCAGCAGGATGCAGGGTGTCCCCCAGAGCAGACGAACACATTTCCTTTATCTTTATGAAGTCACTCGTTGAGTATCTGAGGAGCAGCGGGCTCTCACTTTTAAAAAGTGTGGATTATTCCATTGGCCACAAGAACGCTGCCTAACAACACTAACAGCTTTAACGTGCTGCTGTGCGGTAAGGCCACTGATCCACCATCCATAAGAAACTCGCTTGAACGGCTTTTCAAAGGCACCAAGAGAGTTACAGTCATGGTTAGGATGTGGGTAATTTGGGCCCCAGTGCCCGGTTTCCACTGGCACATCTGACCTGGGTGAGGAGTCTTGTCTGTGGCTGGGAAATGGAACAAAGCTTGCCTAAGGTCAAACCTGTGACCTTGACCTCATCGACAACCGGGTCTTTCCTCTGAGCACTCCATGAGGTCAACAATTTACTTCTAGGTTGTTTTGTTTTCTTTTCTTTTCTTTTCTTTTTTAGATCTGCCACCCACAAAATCTGAGGTTCACTTTTGAACTTAGCAACGATGTTTGAATGAAATAGGAGAATGAGCACCAAAAAAGTTCAAATCAACCTGAAGTTGGGAAAGGGGAAGCAGCTCAGGGGGCAATTTTACTCTCCTCGCATCAGTAAGCCCGAATTGGAAGAGGTAGACATTATGGGGGTAGACACAGAATTCATTAGTTCACTCATTCATTCAGCAAATATTTACTGAGCAGCTACTGCATGCCAAGAACCACACTCTTAAGTGCTAGGGACTTGGCAGTGACACAGCAGAGGAACACCCCAGCCTTCGTGGAGCTCACCTTCAGACCCCCTCCAGATGTGCAACAGAGGCTGTTTATTTGCTGAGGCTTGTAGCTCAGACAGCACTGACATGCAGGGGAAGCTGAGCAGATATGATGATTCAATGACTTGCATCTGCCAACTGGCTCCGCTTCCTGCGTCACCCCCAACTGCCACTCATTTGGCAACAGTGAGACCCGAGACAGAATTCTCCTCCTTTTCTACCATCCCCCAACTCCCTGCATCACCACCTTTCCTGAGCACATTGCTCAGAGTCGAGGATGCCTAAAAACTTTGAAAGGATCTTGCACCCTGCCCCGTGGAGCCAGGAACACTGAAACGTGACTGTTCCCTGGATGGACCTCTGCCTTATGTTATTGACAATCTTTGCAGCAAGACCGAGGGAAGGAGTATCACTTGAGGCCCAGGGACGTGGCTGGGACTGAAGTCACTCATACACACAGGGTATAAGTCACATGTGATCACAGGACCAACTCCACGCAAAGGAGGAAGTAGCTGTAAGGCTGTTCAGAAAACCTGCCCTCTGGTTCAGTACTTACCGAAGCAAAACGGAGTTTTGGGTTTCTGCTTTGGGGTAGCTATGCTCACCTAAATCAAATAAAAAATAAAAGAAACATGAATATGTTTCTAACAGTGCTGCAAAGTCCTGTTTCCCCCCCCCCCAATTTTTTAAATTGGGAAATGTTATACAAAAAGAGTATGTAAAATACATGGGAATGTTTTAAAGACTATACTTAAGTGGAAACCCTGTACTCATCACCTAGATTAAGAAATAGGCCATTATCAGTCCTATTTCTTAGAAGCCCTTGTGTGCCCCTGCCGGACAGAATCCTGTCTCTGCCCCTTGGAGATAACCAGTATCTTCACGTCAGTGTTTATCTTGATCTTTGCAAAAATATATAAAAGCCACAGAGTCCTGATAAAATTCTCTTTGCTCTGTTTGTTTGTTTGTATTCTTTAACCCATTTTTTTTTACTCTTTAACTTTTATTCTTCTTTATTTTTTAATGGAAAGATTAGGGATTGAACCCAGGACCGCAGGTCGCTAAGCATGCGATCTACCGCCAAGCTATACCCTCCCCCAGAATTCTCTTTGGACCACAAAACTGTACCGGCACCCCTCACACTGGCAAGATTTCCACTCCTCTCCCAAAGACCAGACCCTCCCTAAACGGTTCTGCAAATTGTAGGTACAATTGCCACAAATACACAGATTCCAATCAGAGCTCACAGAAAAGTAAGGCAGCCCGTCACTCACGCACTGGGACACGTGACCGATTTCCCTTCTGTCTACCCTGACGGCTTAACCGTGAAAATAAGTGCTTTCCACCTCCCCAGAGAGAAGCAGGTGGAATCAGAGACAGACCCGAGGTGAAGGGAAGGCACAAGAAAGCCGAGGTATTTCCTGCTTTTCCAAGTCTGCCTCTTGCACGTACATTCCTTTGTGCACATATGAGCCACACTCAGGTTCAAATGCACTGAACGGAGAAAGGACAGCAAACGGAATTGGGTGACTGCCCGTGATGGACTGAGTCCCCCTAGAGCTGGCCTCCACCCCAGTACCTGTGGTTTCTAAGGCGGCAGCCCCCTTGCTCCGGAAACTAGAGCAGGAACTACTATTCACACGTTCTCATAATCCTCCATGGACACGAGCCCCTCGTTTCCAGCCAAGGGCACTCTCCTACTCGCTCTCACCCAGGGCTCCTGGAGTGCTTCTTGCTAATTTTACAGGAGGCACATTAGAAGTCAGGAGCTAAAGAAAACTTGAGTCTAAATTAAGGTCTGGGGGTTGGAGGAGGTGAATAGCTCAGTGGAAGAGCGCATGCTTAGCATGCACGAGGTCCTGGGTTCAATCCCCAGTCCCTCCCCTTTACAAACAAACAAACAAACCTAATTACCCACCCCCCCAAAAAATTTAAAAATAAAAAGAAATTAAGGTCTCTTTGTGGCTCACAGTAACTCAGGGCCTGACTGACCCACCCGTCTGTCGGCAGTCTCCCTCTTGGCTCTTAAGTTCTTTCTAAAGACCTGCCCAGATTCCTTAACAACCAAAATTAATACTGCCTGAAATACTCAAGACAGGAACCGAGGTGGCAGCCTATAAAATACAAAAGACCAAAGGAAGCACGGCCTGGGCTTTGGTGCCGGAGCCATCCCCAGGTTGTCTGACCCCCATTTCCTGTTCTCCCAAACAGGGATAAGAAATCGTGTTCTCAAGGGGCTATGGTGACAGTTCAACGTGACAGTGCAGGTGGAACTTGACCCATCCTGTCATACAGAAGCTCCTCAATCAAAGAGGAACTGAACAGTCATTTAAACCCACCCCCCACATATCAATACAGGTGGTGCCATGCTCAGCACTACAGGCAAAAGGCTAAGGGCTTTGTGAGGTGCTCAGGAGCCCAAAATAAATGTACAAGAGCTGGCCTCCAACCCACAAAATGAACATGGCATACTTGACTTTAATAAATATTTAACTACAAATCTGTGTAACACTCTATCTCGCTGACAAGTATTTAAGTAAATGCCTACAAGATGTCACATTAAGTCAACGTCATCAACGTTCCAATGAAACGTTCGCCAATATTGCATTACATTCAAAAATAATTAGTTGCTTCAATGTTCTTGGTTCACGAGAATCCTCGGATGTATAAGAGGACTGCTGAGAAATGAAGCTCATCATAAATTAAATGAGTTACAGCCAAATGATGCCCAAAGTAAAACGATTAAAATCCTTTTGGGGCAGGGGGAGGGTCCAGCTCAGTGGTGGACTGCCTGCTTATTTAGCATGCACAAGGTCCTGGGTTCAATCCCCAGTACCTCAGTTAAAAAAAAAATACATAAAAAAATAAATAAATAAATAAATAAAACTAATTACGTCCCCCGAATTAAAAAAAGCTTAAAATCCTTTCAAATATTTTACAGCCAGACAATTACAGTCAATGAGGGATGTGGGTGCATTCTGATATGTTTACCATGATGTGAGGTGCTGGCCATGGGGCCTGGGAAAGTCTTTAGATAGTCCCCCAAAACATGAAGATTTACGCAGTGGTGAGCACCGTATCCTGAGTTCAGATGCAGACAGTGCAAATCCCATCAGGTCTTCAGCACTCCCAGGAACCGCGCGCTGGAGGCCCATGACATCAGAGTGCCGACCCCCGTGCTGTCTTGTTTTTCTGGGTTTCAAAGCCCAGAATTCAATGTGAACCAGGGTGTGTGCCTTCATCCTGTCTGCCTCTGATGTTCTGATCTGTCAGTGACCCGTGTGCTTCCTCTGTCCCTCAGGATCCATGTCCCTGTGGGTCCTCGAGCCCACAACTCCTGTGTGTCCTGTCCCTGGTTCCTGTGTGACCCTGACAGTCGCAGAACCGCCCTGGCCCCCCTGGCCCTCAGAACCCACCTGTCTCACAGCCCCCCTTCTACTTCTGGCTTTCAAACGGCACTGAAATGGCTGGGGGCCTTGAGACCGTCCCTGGCTTGTTAGGACACTTGCCCTTTCATCGTCAACTGGAGAGAGCACCCGAACGGACACCTTCACCCTGGCTGGGTGACAAATGGTCCCCTCTGACCACAGCTCGTTACCAGCTTCCACGGTGAGAATGCTACCCACGTGCTTATTACGGGAACTGAAGCTTTCAGACAAGTTGCCTGGTTTTTCATTCGTTTTTATAGGTTCACCCAGTTTTCAGTTGAGGGTATGCGTGATTCCTCGTTTATAATTTGCCTCATGCCTCATGGTGACCATGGAAGGAGTTTTTTGCAAAGCAGTTCCTTGCTGAAATAACAGGACATCAGCTCTAGTTCAGCCCTGATGGGCTGTTTAGCAGGGGTGAAACCCTCAGTGTCTCTGATCAGGTTCCTGATTGGCAAAACCAGAGTGGAATGACCATTCTTCTTCTTAGAGCCTCAGAATGACAAGAGAATAAAGTATCTAGCGGTCGCTGTGCCCTCAAAGAGAAGGGCCCAGGTCGGGGGGTCTCACTTACTATGGAGGGGTATACCTCTGGCCTCCCCCTGACATCCTGGTGATGGCAGGGCAGAACCTGTCCCCCGGGAGGTATAACTAAGTCCACTCCCCCATATCCCCACCGCACGGTGATGCCCAGGCCAGGCCATGTAGCCCCCTACACATGTTGTGAAGGAACAGAGGCTCTTAAGGAAGCAGTGTGGCTGACAGGCTGACTCTGGCCACAGTTCAGTGGCTGCACAATGGTGGCTGGCTGGTGGGTCCTTGGCTGAGGCAGCAGTGAGGATGTGAGGGAGGGACCGGGCACCGGTCACCCGCAGAGTGACGCAGATGAGGCCGCCCCGCAGCTCGACAGACTCTCGGGAACTTGCTCTTATCAGATCAAACGCAGACCACAGAAGCAGCAAAGTCATGGGGCGGCGGGGCACGGCTGGCCCGCCCCACCCTGTCTGCCCTCGGCCGGAAGTGGAGCTGGGGCCCCTCTGCCTAAAGCAGCAGCATCAGACCAAGGCCTCAGAGCCCTGGTGCAGCTCTGCCTCCGTGTCCAGAGTGACCCTGCCCTGCAAGGCGGCTTCAAGAGAGAGGGGAGCATCACTTACACAGAATGATGCGCGGGGGTTCTAAGTCAGGGTCTCTGGACCAGCTTCGTGGGGTCAATGAGCCCTGAAGTTACAGGCAAAACTAGGGTGTGTACACACATATGTAATTTACCTGGGAAATGGGTCCACATTTTTCATCAGACTTTCCAAAGGATCCTTGAATCCTCCCCTGAAAGTCAGGAACACTGTTCTAGGGCAATCTTCACTGTAGGTAAAGTAGTGGGTGGGGGAAGCCCAGAGAAAATGGGACACACACTGGAGGCAGGACAGTGGGGCTGGCTGTGTGGACGAGGGTAGGTGGGCGGCTAGCTTGGTTCTGCTGCCATCAAGGGCCTGTGTGACATCAAGTCGAGAACCTTCATCTCTGCTGGCCTCTCTGAAGTACCCCATCATCCCCACACTAGTGCTCAAGAAGGCACACCCCTGAACAGAGAGGCCACACTACCCAACCCCCAGCCAGGCTGACACTGAGCTGACACTCGGGGAGGCACAAATCTAGAGGTTAACAAAAAAACAACCCAGATGCTGAATTTGATCCCAGCACCGGCTAAAGTATTTTTCTGGGAAAACCCTGCTTTCTGGCATTGGACCAGGCAGCAGGCGAAGATGCTTTGCTCAGAGAAGCCTGACCACGGGGCAGCTGCGAGTTTTGCAAAACCCACCCAGGCCTGCCTCTCCCATCCGCAAAGGGCAAAGGGCAGGTCCATCCTTGCTAAGGGAAGCTGCTTCCAAAGCTGGGAATTTTAAAAACCCTCATCGGAGCTGTATTTATAAATCACTCTCCAACAGAAGCGTTTGCAGTTTCATTAATATTGAGGTTCTCGGCTCCCCTCTCTCTGAATTCTCTTTCTCCGAATCTTGTGAGGAGCTCAGAGCAAGCAGGGAAGAAAGAAGGGCCAGCCAGGCACACGTTCTTACCACAAACTGCCTGCTTTCAAAGGCCCTTCCCCGTGCCCCCCAGGTCCTCCCCTCCCTCCCTAAGGCACCCAGATGCGGCCCTGCACCTTCTGACTTTGCTCCTGCTGCCCCTGCCGCCGCCTCCACCTCCAACCAGCAGAGACGGCTGCCCGAGGACCCCCAGGGCCTGCTGCAGCCACTCAGACCAGGGTCTCAACCCACCCCGCCGAGGGTGGGAGAAGGTGGCCGAGGAAGCAGAGGTCCCCAAGAGGCCCAAAGTGACGGGGCGGGGGAGAGCAGGCCTTCCGGAACCTCGTTGCTGGCTGGGCGCCACCTGGCTCTCCTCGCTGGACAAAGAGTTCCTCTTTCTGGCAAGGCTCTACCTCCCCAGCTTTTTTTTCTTTTTTATCACGGCTGCATCACAGGTCAGCACTGGTGCCTGCTCCAGGGAGGGGCTGCTGAAAAAAGCTGAATTCAGCAGCTCCGGGAGGGGCTCCATCAACCAGCTCCAGCCCCCACCCAGGTCTCAGCACCTCCAGGGGCTGCTCTCGCCCTGTCTGCGCAAACTGGACTAGGGCATGGCCTGTCGGCAGGCCCGCCGGACCCTCCAGCAGTTGTCTGGCTGTGGAATGGCTTCCCGGCACATCTGAGTACCTCCTCGGGCAGCCTGAACCTTCCCTCCACAGAGATCCCGTCCAGTGATGGATAAAATCCCAGTGCGGCCCCAACTCTTCCTGAGCTACGCCAGCTGAACCACACCCTTTGGGAGAATCGTTTACATTCACCAGGCTTTCTGTTGTGGTGTTTGTGTTCCTTTTTATCCCAAATACAAAAAAGACCACATCCTGCTCCTCCCCCACCCCCTCACTCCTTGGCGAGAGCCAGTAGCGTCACTGACAGAGGGGTCCCGGAGTCTGAGACACAGCTGCCCTCCAAGAACCTGCTGACCACAGTCCCCCCAACCCCCGCCCCGGCCAGCAGCAGGGGCTCCAGACAACCATGACTGCCCCGCAACCTCCCCAGGTGCCAACGCCAGAGGAGGTGACACTTCCTCTAGTTCAGATACTAAACCTACTTACAGACCACGAATTCCCAGAGCTCCAGGCCAACATTACCTTCGAGATGTAGGTCAGCTGCAAAGATCCAACGGCTCCTGCCCCAACTGCCAGGTTCTGAAAGACATGCATTTGTTTTTCGTGTTAAGAAGGATGCTGTGCAAAGGCCACAGAATCAGCACTAGGAGACAGAAGACCCAGGTGTTAGCTGTGTTGCCACTGACTGGCTCTGCAACCTTAAGCAAGGCACGTTCCTATTTAACTCACCTTCCTCGTCTGTAAAACACTGATCGTGGTTTTGGGTACAAGGACATCAATATTTCCCTTGGCCTCATTTGTCACAGAGAGGTATTCTAGCACAGGGGTTAAAAGTGTGGGCGCCACCAGTGGACTGTGAATGAGTTCCTTAACCAATAAGCCTCAGTTTTTTCCCTTCTGTGAAAACAGGCATGACAAGTGTCTGCCTACCAGGCAGGTAGTTAAGGATGAGTTAATACATTTAAGACCCCTCAGCGGGGGAGGGTATAGCTCAAATGGTAGAGCACATGATTAGCATGCACGAGGTCCTGGGTTCAATCCCCAGTACCTCCTCTAAAAATAAATGAATGAATAAATCTAATTACCTGCCCCCTCAAAAAAACAAAACAAACAAAAAAAATTTTTAGAGGCCCCTCAGAATCGTCCCTGGTATGTACACGCGTCTCAGCAAGGGTTAGCCGTTAGGATTTTTTTTCCATCCTGACTGCTCTGATCTCTGTGCTGGCTTGGTCCTGTTTTATGCCACTCCACATCCTTTTCTCAATAAACAGGGTACAGATTCACACAATACAGAAAAACAGAAAGGAAAAATACAGCTGTTCAGTCTATTTCACAGGACTGTTACGAGTATTCCAAATGGAATGATGCCCGAACACTGTAAAACACTAAATAAACGCACTATTAACACAGCCAGAAACGCACAGGCACCTTGTCTGGCAATATTTTGCCGTGACACAATCTCTTTGGCTTTCTAATGTCTCCACTGTCAGAAGTGAGGCGGTGAAGACACGAGGATGGTAGCAAACCAAGGAAGTGGCCAGGATGAGAAATCACAGCTGTGGAGTTTCTCACTGACACCTTGGAAAATTCACTCCCCCAAGGACCAGCTCCTGGTAACCTCTTGAACTTGCCATAAGCCTCAAAGAATAACCTTGAAGCCCCCATTACCTGGGGTCACCTCAAAGCAATGAACAAGAGACAAATCTGGGGTAATGGGGATTTAGTAAGTATCCTAAAGGGTTAACAGTGAACTGACCTGTCACTCCAGGGGACTGCGCTAAGAAGTATCTTAGATGGTAGAGAAGAGCCCTTCTGGGCCCAGCTACCTAAATTCGCATGCATCAGCAAAGGAAAAGTGTGAAGTTTCCTATTCACAAGAAAAGGGATGGGGATAAACCAGGACAAAAGGAGTCTGACAGCCCTAGAAATTTAGGGAGAGAGAGATCTACAAAGGACACCTCCCCCTTTTTGCAAATGAGGCCATAAACCTAAAAGTTTTGACAAGTAGCTGAATTAGCATTTCCAGTAGATTATTGGATTAACATATTTTTTTCCACTACATAGTGGCTGCATTCGTTTTCAGAAAACCTCTATTGGGGAAAGAGAGAGAGGGCTTGTACCCCTAAATCAGAGTCCAGAAAGGAGCCACAGCACCCCAAAAGGCCAGTGAGCGGCTGACACGGCCCCGGAGGAGCCTGTGAACCACCGCAGGCAGACAGCTCTGCTCAGAGGGATGCTGTCTGTGGCCGGCCTGCATCGCCCACAGGAACACACGGAGCAGGGGCACCTGGTCCATCCCTAGCCTCCTGTTTCACACTTGAGGAAAGTGACTCGTGCGTAAGGGGTTTTGCCCAAGGCCACACAACTGAGCCTGAACTGGAGCTCAGGTCTCCTGACTCCCACCTGATGCCCCAGAAGCAGCGCAGTGTCATTTTAAACGCCTGAGCTGCTGGAATTCCAGCTGTGACATTACCGCCCAGGGACTGCAGGAGAGTTTCTTCACCTATAAAGGGGGGCTCCTCAGCCCTGCCTCATAGGCTCGTTGTGAGGGTTACGTAAGACGAACCAGCACGAGCCCCTGCACAGGGCCGGACCCCTCCCGGACCCACAACACTAATTACACGCCGTGGACGCCAAGTCTCGGGGCAGCTCTTACGCAACTCACTCTGCTCACCCCGAGCCACGGCCCAGAGGTCCCCAGAGCCCCGTCTCTAGTTATGAGCGAAGAAGTGGGATCTGAGGAGCCGTTCGGTCCCTAACCCTCACGCAGTGCCAGAGATGAGCGGATCCCACTTTGACTCCTGCATCCCCTCCGCCCTCCAGAGGACCGCTCCACCCTCAGCCCCTGCCACCCGGGCTCTCCCACTTCGGAAACAAAGACACAGCCGTTCATCAAGCCCTGCCACCTGGCGGTGTCCCCACTCCCTTCCCCACAGCCTGCCCACTGCCCGCCTGCTCCTAGGCCCACATGCATCACACATGTCTGAAAATGCGGTTTCCCCCCACCTTCCTCCCCACCCGGGGGGAAATGAGTGACAGGAGGAAACAGCCAAGGTTTGAGCCAGAGTGATGGCTCAGTGTCCACGGCGACTGCTGGACTCAGGAGATGACCGGTGACAGCTGGCTGCCAAGGCAACAGCCCCAGGAAGACACTCCCCGGTCCAGGAAGAGCGTGCCGACTGCCTGTGCTGAGGGTCTCAGCAGCCAGATGTCATCGGCACCTGGGGAGGGCCCGGCGTCAGAGCCCAACGCCAGCCGCCCCTCCCAACCCTGGCCCCAGCCTGGCTCTTCCAGGGAAAGGACCAGAGGCCCTGCCTTCACGAGGCCTTGGCCATGACTGCCGCCTGCCCTGATCGCCCTCTCTCTGAATTCGTGTGTACACCACCCCTCTCCAGCTTCGCTGCACATCAGCCTCTTCTGGCGAGCTTGTTTTAAAAAGGCCCAGACTCAAGCCTCACCCAAAACACATGGAATCAGACTCAAGTGGAATGTGGTCACAACATGCCCATTTTTAAATGCTCCCCCGTGGTCTCAAATAGGCCCAAGTTTGAGAACCACTAGTCTCCAGGAGAAAATCTCACCCTGGAGTCTGCACTGGACCATGTCCTACTGTGAGTCTGTCTCTTCTTCCTCGGTTTTAAGCACATTGAGGACATGAGTAGAATCTTATTCCTCTACCCGGCGGACTCCTCGATTTTTAAATGAAAACACTGCTTACGTGGTGGTGAAGTTTCCAAACCAGCCCATGAGAGCTGGCTACACTCACATGGTACTGAAGACCAGGACAGCTTCTCGCCACCACGGGCAAGCGTTTTTTTCCAGAAGTCATGTTCATGTTTGAGCTTGGGTGTCACCTCAGTCTGCAGTTCCCTTGTTCCGGGTGCAGAAGGCATGACAGACTGAGTCCCATCAGGGAGGGAGTTGAGGACCAGACCAGGGAGAAAGCCAGGGAGCATCTGAGCAGGTGGGGAGCATCTGAGCAGGTGGGAAGCGGAGACAGAGGCTGTGGGGGAGGCTCCTCGTGTGAATCACCTGGGAGGATTTTTATACAAACTAATGCCCAAGCTTCATCCCAAGCAACAAGGGGTAGGTCCCAGGCACCTGTATATTTTTAAAGGTCGCAAGTGACTCCACTGGGCCGCCAGGTCTGAGACTCACTGCTGCAGACACTGGCAACAGCTGGTGAGACAAAGGGCCACACCCAGCTGCGGCCCAGTGTGGCACCAGCACTCAGGGAAGAGGAGCAGGGCAGTCGTGGGTGGCAGATGGGGGAGAGGAGAGCCCAGCCTACACTGGGTGTCTCTCCCCCAGGGGCAGCCTGTACAATTCTGGGGCTTCTAAACTTTCTGGAACAGTGTAGGGGGCAGGGCACGTTCCTATGAAATGACTGATGGTTTTAGGAAGATGCTGCCAACCCCTGCTTTCTGTTCAAGGGTTCTTCTGCCACCCAGGGCCTCAGAGGAGCTCCCACTCCCCCTGAGCGGGGACCCCAGGGGTGATTCTGTCCCATCACCAAGGAAGGAGCCGAGAACCCCCAGAGACGTGACACACTTCCTAGAGGAAGCCTTTTCTCTAGAAGCAACACGATTTCTTGGTGAAAGAGAAACAATTCCCCACCTTCGAGCAAGAGCCACAAAAACACAGAAATGACCAGAAGATCCGTCCACAGAGCCTAAGTTCACGGAAC